GCGCGGTGACTCGAGGGGCGGCGGCCGCCAGCAGTTCCAGCGCTCCGGGCGCGGCGGGCAGCAGTACGGCGGCGGCTACGAGGGCCGTGGCGGCGCCCGGGGCGGTGGCGCGCGCGGCCGCCGCTTCGGCTGGAAGGACTACGACAAGCCGCAGCGCAACCGCGACGCATCCATCAACATCAAGCCCGACTGGAAGCTCGTCGAGGAGATCGACTTCAACCGGCTCAGCAAGCTCAACCTGGACGCCGACGAGGGCGAGGACGTCGACAGCTACGGCTTCCTCTACTACTACGACCGCTCGTACGACAAACAGCCCGTCAAGAGCGCCGAGCGCAAGCTGGCCGTCGTCGACCGCGCCGCCTACAACGTTACCACCTCGTCGGACCCCATCATCCAGGACCTCGCCGACAAGGACGAGGCCACCATCTTTGCCACCGACAGCGTCCTGTCGACGCTCATGTGCGCCCCGCGCTCGGTGTACCCGTGGGACATTGTCATTGTCCGCCAGGGCAACAAGGTGTTCCTCGACAAGCGCGAAAACGCTGCGCTCGACATGGTCACGGTCAACGAGAACGCGGCCGACGCGCCGCTCGAGGCGTCGGAAGGGTCCAAGGAGATCATCAACCAGCCGCCCGCGCTCGCCGAGGAGGCCACGTACATCAACCACAACTTTGCCAACCAGGTGGTGCTCGAGAGCCAGAGCCAGAAGGTGGACATGGCGCACGAGAACCCCTTCTACAGCGCGTCGGACGAGACGGCGCCGCCGGCGAGCAAGGCGTACAAGTACCGGCGGTTCGACCTGTCCACGAGCGAGGAGCAGCCGACGTACCTGATTGTGCGCGCGGAGCTGGACGCGGTGCAGAAGAACGCCATCAACGGCGAGGACCAGTTCGTGACGGTGCATGCGCTCAACGAGTTCGACAACAAGGCGCAGGGCAGCGGCGGTGCCCTGGACTGGCGCACCAAGCTCGTGTCGCAGCGCGGCGCCGTGGTGGCGACCGAGATGAAGAACAACAGTTGCAAGCTGGCGCGCTGGACCGTGCAGAGCATCCTGGCCAAGGCGGACGTGATGAAGCTTGGGTGCGTTTCCCTTTCTTTCCCTCATCCCGTGTTGAAACGATGCTAACGATGTTTGTCATTGCAGCTTCGTCTCTCGTGTGTCGCCCAAGGTCAACGACAAGCACGTCGTCCTCGGCGTCATTGGTTGGAAGCCCAAGGACTTTGCCAACCAGATGAACCTGTCGCTGTCCAACGGCTGGGGCATCGTGCGCACCATCGCCGACATGTGCCTGCAGCGCGAGGAGGGCAAGTACGTGCTGGTCAAGGACCCCAACAAGAGCATCCTGCGCCTGTACGAGACGCCTGCCGACGGGCTGGACGACGACGAGGACGCGCTCGAGGAAGTGGTTGCCGAGGCCGACGAGTAGGGTGCTTTAGCGGGGGTGGGACGAGGGGGGAGGGGGCGTTGGGCAAGGAATCAAAAGCGCAATAGACTGGCGCTCTGATCAACCTGTATATGGTTTGATGACGTGCAGCAGCGGGATCTAGCGGGTTCGCGGGTTCAAATTGAAGCCTTGGGGCTGGATTGCCGAATGGAATTACCCTCGTCGCCTCTGCGTTAGTGTCTTGATGGATGGATCCATGGTTGCTTGCTGTGTCAAAGTAAATGGGTGCACGTGACGACGCGAACCCCCAAGGCGTGTCCACCCCCCACCTTTTTTGCTTGCCAAACCGCGTTTTCCCCATCCCTCCCTCTTCTCCCATCCAATTCCCAGATGGCATTCCCACCTCGTCCTGCTCCCTTTCCCCACCAAGTTGCGACAGCACGCACAGAACCGACCGCCACGCAGTAACCCCCAAAGAAATTTATTTGATATTTTTTTTTCGGCCGAACGAACAAGGACAACAACAGGAAGAAAAATGGCAATACCACCCCCGCGCAAGCCAACGACCACGACGAGGCCGACGTCGACAACCACAAAAAAACCGAGATTATCCCAAACCCGCCTCACACCGACCACCAAATCGACGACGACTGCCACGACAACACCGCAAAAGAAACTTGCGACGTCTGCCACGCCACTGTCGGGGAAGAAGACCACGAAATCGAAACCGAATGCGAGTATACTGAGCTTTTTCAAGAAGGCGGTGGTGGAGGAGGAGGGGTTGTTCATCGCGGGGGGCGGGGGCAGTAATACGCAAGGTGATGTGGGTGGCGGCGTGGAAGAGGCGAGGGACGAGGGGGAGGGGATGGAGGAGGATGCGGTGGTGAGCTCGCCCGGTGCTGCTGCTCTTGTCCAGGAGGTGGGCAACCAAGGGAGGGGTTCTGGGGGTGGGGGTGGGGATGGGGATGATGTTTCTGTGGGGTTGGGGGTGGTTGTGAATGGGGAGAGGAGCGAGGAGGGGAGGTTTAATGAAGTTGGGGGGGCGGTGAAGAGGAGGAGGGTTGGGTCGAGTTCTGGGGGGGCGGTGGAGAGTGGGCTGGAGCCAGCAACGAAGACGACAAAAGCAGCGCCGGTGGGGAAGAAAAGGGCGGCGAATCCCTTCTTGGACGACTCGGACGATGACGATGACGACGACGACGACGATGACGAGACGTCGACAACAAGGGTGAGATTGCCGCGCCCTGCGTTTTTTGGGAACCACAACCCCCCGGATGCCGGACCGGTGAAGCTTACCAGTGGGATGGGGTTTGATAGGGAGGTGCCGCTTCTGAGGCAGCAGACATCGGGCGATGAGGCTGGGGGGGAGGGGGAGGAAAGGGTTGGGGAGGTGCTGGGTGATGAGGAATACGACGATTTCGCGGGAGAGGAGATGAGGGCGATGCGAGAGATGGAAGAGCAGGCGCGGCTGGAGGCCGGGGAGGAGGGGCTGGAATATGAGCTGGCGAGGGATGATGATGGCGAGTCCATGACGGAAAGTTGTCCGGTCTGCGGCGGCAGTCTCGCGGGGGCGTCGCCAGACCAGGCGACCGCGCATGTCAACTCCTGTCTAGACGGCAATCCAACGCCGTTGCCGTTGCCGTTGCCGCCGCCGCTCGAAGGCGGGATGGAGATGGAGGTGGAAGTCGAGATCGAGGCCTCGGTCATGAGCAAGCGGTTTGCCAAAGCTGCCGTTCCACGACCGGGACAGGCAAATCCAATCCGCCTTGGGGATGAATCTGGTGGGTCATCGAACTCGGCGTTTACCAAGCTCATGTCTGGTCATGCCGAAGACGCAGCCTGGGCCACGGCCGCCACGGCGGAGAACTCGTCCAGGGGCATGCCGGCGTACAAGCGGACCTGTCCATTCTACAAGATCATGCCCGGCTTCTCTATCTGCGTCGACGCCTTCCGGTACGGCGCCGTCGAGGGCTGCCAGGCCTACTTCCTCAGCCACTTCCACAGCGACCATTACATCGGCCTGACCGCAAACTGGACGCACGGCCCGATCTACTGCAGCGCTGTCACAGGATCGCTGGTCAAGTCGCAGCTCAGGACGGCGGCCAAGTACGTCGTCGAGCTGGAGTTCGAGAAAACGGTGCCCGTCCCCGAGACCAAGGGCGTTACCGTCACCATGATCCCGGCAAACCACTGCCCGGGCAGTTCCATGTTCCTCTTTGAGAAGACGGCCGGCAGGAGGACACAGCGGATCCTCCACTGCGGCGACTTTCGTGCCTGTCCCGCCCACGTCAAGCACCCGAAGCTGCACCCCGAGACGGTGGACACCATCACGGGCCGCACGAAGGAGCAGAAGATCGACGTCTGCTATCTCGACACGACCTACCTCAGCCCGCGCTACTCATTCCCCCCGCAAGACGACGTTGTCCAAGCTTGCGCGGAGCTCTGCGCTGGCCTCAACGACGGCCTCCTCGCGGGCGACACTCGCGAGTGGGACGCCCTGCAGCGGCGGCGTGAGCGCAAGGGGGCTTCCGGTACGGAAAGCGTCACCAAGTTCTTTACCTCCGCCTCTACCTCCGCCTCGTCAGCCCCAGACCTGCTGCCCAAAGCTGCCCCTCCCGCACAACCCAACGCCTTCACAGCTCTCTCCGCCCCGCGCTACAACCCCAACCGCCTCCTTGTGGTCTGCGGCACCTACAGCATCGGCAAGGAGCGCATCTGCGTGGCCATCGCCAAGGCGCTGCGCTCCAAGATCTACGCGGCGCCGGCCAAGGCGCGCATCTGCCGGCAGCTCGACGACGCCGAGCTCGCGGCCCTGCTCACGCCCGACCCGGCCGAGGCGCAGGTGCACATGCAGGCGCTCGCCGAGCTCCGCCCGGACACCCTCGCCGAGTATCTCGCGGGGTTCAAGGCGCGGCACGAGTTCGCCCGCGTCGTTGGGTTTCGGCCGTCGGGGTGGAATTACCGACCGCCTGCTCCGACCAACGGGACGGGAACGAAAACGAGCGCGAACCTCGCCCCTTCCTCCCTCCCCACGGCGGAGCTCCTCCACAGCGCGCACTGGCGCCCGCGCTTCCGGCTCGCCGACCTTGTCCCACAGCGCGGCGGCGGCGACATTGCGGGGGAAGCCATGTGTTTTGGCGTGCCGTACAGCGAGCACAGCAGCTTCCGGGAGCTGGCTTTGTTCGTGATGGCGCTGCGGATCGAGAGGGTCGTGCCGACGGTGAATGTGGGGAGCGAAAGGGGGAGGGCGGCGATGAGGGGGTGGATTGAGCGGTGGATTGGGGAGAGGAGGAAAGGGGGGGTTGTGAAGGTTGTGAAGGTTGTTGGGGAGGATGAGAAGAGGTTGTGGGATGGGAAGGGGACTGGGGGTGGGGTTTGTTGGTAGGGGGTGGTAGACCCCGCGCCCACTAATGGCCCCTGTTCTTCCTCCTCCATCATGTAGCCCCCCTAGCACTACCACCTAGCACCCAGACGTAACAAACAAATAAGGACCTTCCTCTCCGCACGGGGGGGTTTATGTCCAACATGAAAATAATAAAAAATATGAGGAGACTATAAACCAGACAGAAACAAAAAACACAACCAACCCTCATAAACAGCACCCCGCGAACAAACAAATGGGAACTGTGAGGCTCGAACTCACGACCTCAGGATATCCCGGCCTGTGACCGGATCATACATCTTCCAGCAGTAGTGGAAACGACCAGTATGAGACCTGCGCTCTTCCAACTGAGCCAAGCTCCCTGTGGGGATTTGTGTCGTGTGTCGAGTTGCATTGGAGGGCTGGTCTATCAAGTGTGGAGTGCGGGATGGAGTGGTTTTTGCTTGGTGTGAGCGAATTTTGCTTGGTGGTTGCGGGGACTGGTAGGGCGGGAGAGGAGGGTGAGGTACCTAGGTAGGTAGGTTGGTCGGAGACGACAACTAAGCGGTGGGGTCTTGAGGAGGTTGATTGAGGGTTGGGGGTGAGGAGGTGGGTTTGAACGGGAACTGGTGTGGATGGATTAGGGGGTTGCCATTCACATTAGGGGCAGGGAGATCATGGATTCTTCTGAGGGAGAGAGAGACGCGGCTTATGTCTTGCCCAGGGCCAATATGCACCGCCTGCTACCCATCTCCCGTTGACCCCACGATTGGAGGTTTCATTCAGTGGCCCCGAGGTGAAGGATTATTATCTCTCTTTGGCCAGTCCTCCTTGCTTGGGTATTCGCCAGGCTCAATCCCAGACCGAGCCTTCATGCCCCTCACCCCAGCCGACTCTCAAGGCATGCCCAGCCAACCCAGCCAACCCGCTTGAGGATAATGGCGGCGACGCCTCTCGCAGCCCCTCCAGCCTCTCCCCCAAAGCCCATCCAACCCCCAAAACACCGAAGCTCATTTATTTACCCTTCCCCGCTTGGTTCGCAGCCTCTGCATGTCCCACCACGTCTGTCAGCCTCCATCCGCGGCAGACAACCCACCACAAGGCAGGAAGACGGGAAAAGGAAGGCGTAACAGGAGGATAAAACTCACCTCTCCTCGTGGCATCCTCCAACAACGGGATATCAACCGCATTTGCCGGCAGGTGTACATAGCGAACCACCGAGCCACGGATGAAGACGTTCTTGACGGCGCTCTGGACAACAACGAGATTTGTGAGCCACCCTCCAAAAAGAATAAAGAGGGCAAGTCTGGTGACGCACCATGTGCGGGTACTTGAGCTCCTCGAGGACCTGGATGTTGTCGAGCTTGATGTTGAGGTACTGGTCGACGCTCTTGAGGACGCCGCGGATCTGGATGTCGTTCTTGAGCTCGACCGTGACCTCGTGGTCGATGAGGGTTTTGAAGAAGCTGTGTTTGTTAGTGGGTGTCTGTGAATGTGTGCCAGGGGCGATGAGGGGGGTGGGAGAGTGAGTGAAGGAGACGGTGTGTATTTGCTCAGGCGGAGACGAGGTGAGGTAGTGGTTGAGGCGGGGGTCGGGGCAAGCGGGGGGTTGGTCAGAGTGAGTCGGAGTAACTCGGGGTTTTGAGGGTAGATGAGATGGGGTTATGAATATGAGTGCGAGTGAGGTTGTGTGATGGCCAGCTCCCATCCCCCTCCAACCCCAAATGCTCCCCAGCCCTAGGTGACCGTCCCCCATCACAATCCCCTGGTTCAAGGTCGCAGCAGCCAGGCAACACCCCGCCGTTTCCCGAGCAAAGAATACACGCCCAAAGAAACACACACATACCTGAAGAACAACATTGTGAGAATCGCGCTGCCACCAGGGTCTTGCGCGGCAGGGCAGTGAGTGCAGGGCAGGCTGAGTGTTGATGTTTCAACAGCTCTCTCTCACTCTGCCCGCCCCGCCAGCGCGACCCTGTCCACCAGGTCAGGGAGACCCACATTTTTCTGGCGGGTCCACGCCATGCTCCATGCGGCATATTGGGGCCTCGAAAATCAGGCACCAATCCCCACCGCCCCTTCTGTCCCCACCCACCATTGGCCTCGCCCTCCGAGCACCAAAAACCCACCAGGTCAAGCCACCCGCGATCCAGCCCAGCACCCATCACAAATCACAGCACAGGAAGCCAGCTCCAAACTCGGTCCCACGCCTCGGCCCGCCGTTAGACTCTCCTAGACCAAACCAGCATCATCAAATCGGATCTTCTGGTCAGCCGCCATCTCCCAATTTGCGGGCCGGCACGCAGCAGTTACTAGTTAGCGCCAGGAGCAGCCCAATGATGCAGCCGCAGATGTCACGAAACAGACCCAGAAACAAAACCAAACAACCCACTCATCGCAAACAAACCTCGAGGTCATGAACATGGATAAACTATATAACTGTTTGGTTTGGTTTGTCGCAACTCCCTATCCCCCGCGTATATCCGGCGACGGATCGGCCCATCCCAGAGTCTAACACCCCCCCTCTCAGTCCGCAGACCAGGCGTCTCGGAGGGGGGGGTTCATAAAAGAAAAGAGAGACGTAAGAAACGGTCGTCACAAGGGAAAAAACAAATATCAAGACGAGCAATAAAACAACCATACAGCACCAGCGGCAGAAAGACCCTCGATGGCACAGGCCTGTTTTCCAGCAGGGCACTTTCTCTCTCGCTCTCGCTCTCGCTCTCCTTTTGGTTTGGGTGCCCTGCCTTTCCTTCCTTCCACTCGCCTCCCTCTCCTCCCTCCCATTCTACCCACCCTCATCGCGAGGGGTTCCACTCCGCCAGGTGACCAGACGGACCACTATCAATAATAGTCCCTGGCCACCCCAGACAGAGCAAAACACACAACACGACAAACAGCAACAAGAGGTATCCTCGCTCAACTTAGCGCGACAAAAATCGAGGGCAGAATAAAATAAACTAAGATAAATAGGTAGCTTTCCGAAGGGAGGGAAGAAGACAGAACGAGAACAGGCGCAGGAAAACAAACAGTAAAAAAACACGCGCAAAACCCCCTCCTCATCCACAACGCGGCGAGGGGGTCTGTAAAAGAGGGGGGGGTATCCGTGTCGTAACCCGTCATCAAATCCGTGATAGCACAATCTTTCCCCTCCTTTACCACCCCAATAGGGAGGGCCCTGTCCCATCCCTTTCCTTCCCTCCCGTCCTTCCCAACCTTCCCACCACCACCACCACCACCACCGCCACACCATCCCATCCCATCCCGCCCAAACAAAGAAAGACAAAAACAAGACAGCCCAGCCTACCAAACAGGAAATCGGGAAGGGGCAAGGACCGCCAAAAATGCTATGCTCTGTGTCGCTGATATGCTGCTGTGAGGCCAAGTGTATCATGGTAATTTCGGGACGAGAGAGAGAGAGGGGGAGAGAGAGAGGTGACCCAGACCCGCTTTGCCAAATAAACCACAGCAACAGAAAACAGAAAGCCAAAACACGCTCGACAGGACAGGACAGGACGAGAACAGCCACCCCGGCCATCGACAGCAGATCACACTCTCGACCAGCCTCGACCCGCCCACATAAAATAGGGGAAGGGATGAAGGGACGGCGACCAAACCGGACAACCAGAGCAGCCTTGCGCAATCTGAGGGATGAACAGGAAAAAAACAAAACCAGTACCACACCTCCCCCAGCCAACCACCCTTCCCTCCACCTGCCACCAACCGCCACCAAGACTCCCCGCCCAAAAACAATTTGTCCCAGGTTGCCTCGGGCTTTCCGATTTAGATAGATAGATAATAGAAGAAAACAGAAGAAAAAAACAAAAACAAAAACAAGAGTAGGGTGGGGTTTGCTGTAAGTCGTAACTTCATGACCTGTTTGTTCTTGGGAACATGCGGAAGAAAAAAAACCGGGGTATAGAGCCATCAACCGACCGACCGACCGACCGCACCATTGCCCCCCCTGCTTCTTCTTCGTCGTCTTCTTAAAATTCCGCCTCTTTTTTTGTGTCTCTTCACCCCACTCCCACTTCCTCCACCTTCAACTCCTCGAAATGTATTGTTTTTGTTGTTATTGTTGTTGAATAAACCCCTCAATCGTCATCCTCGTCTTCGTCCTCGGGGCTCGAAACCGCGCGTTTCGACTTCTTGGACGCACTGCCGGAGCCGTTACCCTCCGATTTGCGCTTCGTCGCGCCCGAGGCCGTCTTGGTCGTCGCGACCGGCGCCTCGGGCGGCTCGGCCTTCTCGGCGCCGCCCGTCCTGTCCTTCTCCATCTGCGCCACCTCCTCGGCCGTCAGGAACCGCCCGCCCGGACCGCGCGGCCGGCGCATCGCGTGGTTGTGCCGCGACTCGTGCAGGTAGGGCTTCCGGCCCTTGCTAGTCAGCCGGAGGGCCTCTTCGAGGCGCTGGCGGGCGAGGCGACGCTTCAGGATGCGGTGGAACTGCTTGGCGTTGACGTAGAGGGGCGACTCCTCGACGGCGCCCGAGGGCATCTCGGGCGACTGCGGCGGGGGCATCTGCTGTGCCGCCGTCATGGGCGCCGCCACCGACGGCCGCGGGCCGCCGTGGTTCAGCATGCCCGTCGCGCCCGGGACGCCGGGGCTGGCGACCTGGCTGAGGCGGCGCTGCTGGGGCATGTTGTTCATCTGCTGAGGGGACCGCGGGCCGGCACGGGAGTCCTTCTTAGCGCCGACGCCGGACATCCTCGGCGATTGCTGCAGGCTGGGATCGGACGGCATGTAGGGGTACGAGGAGCCCGAGGCGGCGGCGGTGGCAGCCATGGCGGCGGCCTGGATCCCCGGCATGCCATAGTGCATGCCCTGCTGGGGTACTGCGTACTGCGCCTGATACATGCTGTGCGGTTGGGTGGGGGAGGGCTGGTGTTGTTGCGACGGGAGGATCGGTGATGTCTGGGAGAGGTGCTGGGTGGACGGCGAGGTGATGCTGTTGCCGCCTGCCGAAGTCGGGTACCCGGTCTGGATGTGTGGTTGTGAATGTGCGCTCTGGGGTTGTTGTTGGTATTGGGCGTATTCCATCATCCTCGGAAACGTCCCGACAAAACGCCGAACTGGGTCGCGGACACGGGCGCTGGCGCTGTTGTGGATGCGACGGGCCAAGAGAGGGGTTGATCGAAAGAAGGGTAGATCTGATAAGGATTCGTCGACGGAAACGCGACACTGGGAAGCTGACACGCGGGTTGGTTGAACCAAGAGTCTTTCAAGGCCCGGTAGTGAGGCTTCGAGAGCTTTGATCTATCCGAGAACCGCAAAAGTCACTTTGTACCTGTGGGTTGGGCGTGGATGTGCACCCAATCTATTGGAGTGATGCGTTGGCACTCGAAGGGATGGTAGCGGAGCTGTGCAATTGGTCGCACCGCAGC